CAGTGAGACCCATATAGGAATTCTAACCTGTCAAACTGTAAGATAATAAGTTTGTGTTGTTTTACACCTCTAAAACTGTGGTAACTTGTTATAGCAGCAATAGAAAATAAATATAAATGGCCACAACTAATAAGTTGTAGTGAAATGGGAACTCAGGTGATCTGACTCCAGGGTGTGTGTGTATATAGCTAAATCAGTATTTATTTATTTAACCAGCTCACATTAATGGGCATTTAGATTGCTTTCAATTTACAGTATTTCAGACAGCGAGATAGTAGATTTCCTCATATCTACGTAAGCTCTACTCCCAACGTGGGGCTTGAACTCATGACCCCAAGGTCAAGAGTTGCGTGCTCTACTGACTGAGCCAACCAGGCACCCAAAAGATTTTTTTTTTAAGTAAGCTCTAGGCTCAGTGTTGGGCTTGAACTCATATCCCTGAGATCAAGAGTCACATGCTCTGTTGAGCCAGCCAGGCACCCCAGTTTGCTCATATCTATATTTTCAAACACTTCAGTTAGAATTTCTATAGGAAATTTTCCTACAAGTGAAATTATTGGGTCAAAAGATAATCATATTAAATATTGTTATAAACCCTGACAAATTGCAGAATGTTCCCAGTTCAGCTCTTGGACAAGAACTGAAATCAGCAAGAAAAGAATGAACAAAAAATAGGAACGGATCTGGCTTATTGGTAACTATTTCAGCCAACCAAAGAACTGATGAAGTGACCACGTAACTGAAAGTGCCTTTCTCCTTCATTTTAAGCAGACAGCCTATAGACATCAATTCCAGAAGAGTCCCTCTGGCTCTTTCTTTTTCATGGGTACTGTGGATAAATTCATTTTGTGCTTTTATTCCTGGGTCTTGCTTTGGCCTTTGAGGCCAGTAAAGACTGACAAAAATAGACTTTGTAGTAAGTATCTTTTTTGCTAGTGATCTATTTTAAAATGCTCTATTAGCACTGGGTGTTCTATGGAAACCAACTTGACAATAAACTATTTAAGAAAGAAAAAAAGAAAATGCTCTATTACTTCAGTTGAGGCTAGAGTTTCCCTTGTGCACAATTAGATACTTGAAAACAGTAATAGCATTTCATTAATTTTGAATGATAAGCTTCCCAGCAGAGTCCTGGAACCCAGCTTTTGGATAAAATTACTGATTAAAGAAAATTAACATAGCAACTTGTTCAAGTGTGTGGGCTCTGTGATTAGCTGATATGTTATGGGAGCCACTGCAGCAGGGCCCCATCAGGATTTAATGGTCAGTCCCTGTGTGACTCTTCATGAGAACAAATCTCTTCACATTGTTTACATTAAAGGATCCTGGACTCTGAAAAACGAGAACTCTTTCTTGCTGGAGATAACTTTTACTTTCTTGGGCATCTCAATTCCATTCTTTTATCTGGAAAGTGGTCTCTGTCACTCTTGGCTGTACCAGTGCTTTTGTGGAGATTATAGGTGGGATCACACCCTTTCTTTTCCTTCCCATTCCCCCCCCCCTTTTCTTTTATCCCAGCACTTCCTTTTCTCTTAGAGATTTTGGTTTTCTCCTTACGCTGTGATTTTTTATCTTCAAAGTTGTAAAACAGTTTGGCTGCTAGATCCTGGGGCATTGTAATAAACATCTTCTTGGCTGTGAAATGGAAAGATGTCTAACTAATGATGTTCATTTATTTACTCATTTAGTTTTGATTCAGTTTTGCCTAGGAAACCAGAAAGGAAAACCCGAATTCTGATAAATGTTAGGGTATTATAATGAATAACACCTCTTATTTGTTCATCACTTTCCATACCATGGGCCTAACACTACTGATTTTTTTTTTTTTTTTGGTAAATATGTTAAAGTCCTCAGGACCATTCTGTGAGGTAGGTGCTATTATTACCCCCATTCCATTGTTAAGGAAATTAAGGCTTTAAGCAGTTAGACAACCTGCTGAAGGCTATCTAGTAGTGGATGATAAAGCTGAGATTCAAACACAGGTTTGTTTGACCAGTCTGGATTCTTAACCACTATACCAGAATGTTCTTTGGCATTTCAAGTCATTTGTAACCAATACTTCCAAGAATGTTTTAAAACAGAAAAAAACTAAACCATAGCTAAAGAGCTACTTACTTTGTGGTAAAGTAGAAAGAACACTGGGATGGGAGTCAAAAGACTGTGTCCTTAGTAGCTGCTCAAGTCCTCGGGGGCAAGTCATCAAGTCTTTCCCTAGCTCCTCCTTTGACCTTTGTTTTTCCCATCTATAAAAGTGCCAATCTTCTAGCATCTTAAAAAAAATTGACTTCCTCTTTAATTTTCCCTATTCTAAGATAGATGAAACCTACCTCTCCCATATCATTTGTGACAGTTAAGGCTGGTATCGGATGAGTCATTTGGAACCGGGCTACTTGTCCTGAAAAAGAAGGAAAAAGCAATGATTAAATGCCCTCCCCTCCACCTCAGCAGAGAGCAAAGCTAAGCATCATGACTCAAGTTCAAAGCCTAGAAAATCTTGGTGGAAACAGGGTGGATATATTCTGTCTCCAATTTTCTCTGTATATTCATCATTGACCAGAGAAATGTGGATGAATGTGTGGCTCATCATGTAATCATCATCTCAAACTTGCTCAAGCTGTTGTGGAGTAATAATGCTACCAAGCTGTCTTTGTCTAGTCAGAAATGAGAGATAGCCATAGAGAAGACTTGCTAACTTTCTCAAACATGTATCATTATCACATAGCTTTTTTTCTACCCTGTGTATTAAGGGCTGAGTTGTGTCCTCTTAAAATTCATATTTTGATGTCCTAATCCCCAGTACCCCAAAATGTGATTGCCTTGGGAAATAGGGCCTTTAAAGAGAAAATTAGGTAAAATGAGGTCCTATGGGCTCTACTGCAGTGTAACCAGTGTCCTTATAAGAAGAGATTAGGACAGTTCATAGCAGCACTCTCAACAATAGCTAAAACATGGAAAGAGCCTAAGTGTCTATCCACGGACGAATGGATCAAGAAGATGTGGTTTATCTATACCATGGAATACTACGTGGCAATGAGAAAGAATGAAATCTGGCCATGTGTAGCAACATGGATGGAACTTGAGGGTGTTATGCTGAGCGAAATAAGTCAGGCAGAGAAGGACAAATATCATATGTTTGCACGATAGGAGGATTAGGAGGAACTTAACTGAGGAACAAGGGGGAGAAGAAGGGAGGAAATGGTGGGGGAAAGGGAGAGAGGCAAACCATGAGAGACTCTTGAATGCTGACAAAAACTGAGGACTGATGGATGTGGGGGGATGGGGGATGGACATGGAGGAGGGCACTTGTGGGGATGAGCACTGAGTGTTATGTGGAAACTAATTTGACAATAAACTATTTGTAAAAAAAAAAAAAAAAAAAGAAGAGATTAGGACACACAGATAGAGACAAAGGAATGAAAGACCAGGTGAGGGCACAGGGAGAAAGTGGCCATCAGCAAGCCAAGGAGAAAGGACTCAGAAGAAAACAAACCTGTTAACACCTTGCTTTTGGACTACTAACCTCCAGACTGTGACACGATAACATTCTGTTGTGGAAGCCACCCAGTCTGGGGTATTTTGTTATGTTAGCCCTGGCAAACTTATACAGCATGTTTTAAATCCAGGGCTGTTTTTAGTGTTTCTCCTTTACTTCTCAGAATATCTTGACCTTAATGTTTTTCTTTCTTTCCTCCTTTGCTTGAGCTCAGTTTTCTTACCCTAATTAAGCCATACTTGGGTATCAGGCTTCATCCATGAACTGGGGTACAGAGATTTGGCAGATGTTAAAAATGTGTGAAGAATACTCAATGTTAGATTACTCTTGGCTGGTACTTTGAATATAGCTTACATTTCTACTCCTATGTAAAATCCTTGATGCTGACTCACCCGTGTGTGTCACTTCTTAAATAGATTATTTAATTTTACAACTAATATAATGAAACAATGAGCTATATATAGTTGAGTTCTCATCCCTCACCCATACACCAGGAATTTTTCTATTTCTTCTTACTTCCTTATTTTTTTAGTTTTTTAATGTTTTATTATTTATGAGAGAGAGAGAGACCACAGGGGAGCAGGGGAGGGTCAGAGAGAGAGGGAGACACAGAATCTGAAACAGACTCCAGGCTCTGAACTGGCTATCAGCACAGAGCCCAACACAGAGCTCAAACCCATGAACCGTGAGATCATGACCTGAGCCAAAGTCAGACGCTTAACCGAATGAGCCACCCAGGCGCCCCTATTTCTTCTTACTTCCTATCTCAGTAATATGGCAGCAACAGTGCCATCCATCCAGACTCAGATTCTCAATCGAAGAATTTAGGGAGTCTTTCTTGTCCTTTCTATTCCTTACCTCACATGTACAACTCCTTACCCACTTCTGTACATCCATCCATAGGAAAATACTTGTAATATTAAACTATAATATTAAATTTGAATGAAACATATCAATATGGATTCATGAATTTAAAATATATATGTGCATACTCACAACTGTCTATCCATCCTAGCTTTGTCTACTAGAAGCGTATAGAATCAATGATATCCCTTCAGCAATAAACACATCTAGATCCATATTTTCGTTTCTAGTCATCATTTGACCTACTGAAGAAAACTATGACCTTTGGAGAAATAGCTCATTCTAGTTGTTGAGCTGGGAAACTACAAGGTGAGCTTAGGATGTCTTGTGATGATAAAAACCAAGGAAGTGCTCAAGGATTTATGGGGTCACGTTAAAGGGATGTGAGAGCTAGTTTTAAAGGGCTTCCACTATACAGATTTGGACAATTTGAAGATAACTGTAACTGACTACAAAACATTGAAAATATAAAAGTCATGAATCTATAGTGATATCCAAAAAATAATAGAAGGAAAAAAAAAACATTTACATCATTAGAGGTAACAAATCCTTACTCTGAAATTGTTACCGTTCAAAGTAACAAATCCTTTTACTATACTGATAGTAAAAGGAAAAGAACTAAACATTTACTTTGTCTTTTTAGGTGGAATTGTGTATATCATCCTAGTTGATGAGGGAAAACTCATCTTTAGAAAAGAATACCAACGAAGGAGGGATTGTATTTGAAAGTCACTATTTTGCAACCCCCAATGAAATAATTGATTCAAGCAAGGATCATCAATGGTGAAAGAGTATTTCAGAACATATTCACACAGTGACAAAGTGTCATCACACAGGTGACTTGCAAGGAAGCAATCTGGTAAGTTACTAGGTTGACTACACCAATAATATGGGATAACCTTCAATCATATTCCTTCTGACATGATGCAGATGAAATTCACAAAGTCATTTATGAACTATTCTTGCCAAAAGTGTTAAACTCAATCTAATTAAGCCTTTAGACCTAACTTCAAATATATAGGAAATATAGGAAATCAAAGAACAACCAAATTACTCAGTAACTACAGAGGAATTCCTAAAGTGAGAGATTCTACATGACAACTTTTTTTAAAAAAAATAATTTATTGTCAACTTGGCTAACATACAGCATGTAAAGTGTGCTCTTGGTTTTTGGGGTAGATTCTCATGGTTCATCATTTACACACAACACCACAAGTGCCCTCCTCTATGCCCATCACCCATTTTCCCCTCTCTCCTATCCTACCCCATCAACCCTCAGTTTGTTCTCTGTATTTAAGAGTCTCTTATTGTTTCCCTCCCTCCCTCTCTGTAACTTTTTTTTCACCTTCCCTTTCCCGATGGTCTTCTATTAGGTTTCTCAAGGTCCACATATGAGTGAAAACATATGATATCTGTCTTTCTCTGACTGCCTTAATTCACTCAGCATAATACCTTCCAGTTGCATCCACGTTGCTGCAAATGGCCAGGTTTTATTCTTTCTCATTGCCAAGTCATATTCTGTTGTATAGATAAACCACATCTTCTTGGTCCAGTCATCTGTTGATGTACATTTAGGCTTTTTCCATAATTTGGCTATTGTTGAAAGTGCTGCTAGGAGACGCCTGGGTGGCTCAGTCAGTTAAGCGTCCGACTTCAGCTCAGGTCATGATCTCACGGTTCGTGGGTTCGAGCTCCATGTCGGGCTCTGTGCTGACAGCTGGCTCAGAGCCTGGAGCCTGTTTCAGATTCTGTATCTCCCTCTCTGTTGCTGCAAATGGCCAGGTTTTATTCTTTCTCATTGCCAAGTCATATTCTGTTGTATAGATAAACCACATCTTCTTGGTCCATTCATCTGTTGATGTACATTTAGGCTTTTTCCATAATTTGGCTATTGTTGAAAGTGCTGCTAGGAGACGCCTGGGTGGCTCAGTCAGTTAAGCGTCTGACTTCAGCTCAGGTCATGATCTCACGGTTCGTGGGTTCGAGCCCCATGTCGGGCTCTGTGCTGACAGCTGGCTCAGAGCCTGGAGCCTGTTTCAGATTCTGTATCTCCCTCTCTCTCTGACCCTCCCCTGCTCATGCTGTCCCTCTCTCTCTCTCAGAAATAAATAAAAACATTAAAAAAAAAAAAAAAAGAAAGTGATGCTATGAACAGTAGGGTACATGTGCCTCTATACATCAGCACTCCTGTATCCCTTAGGTAAATTCCTAGTAGCACTGTTGCTGGGTTGTAAGGTAGTTCTATTTTTATTTTTTAATTAATTTTTTTAATGTTTTATTTATTTTTGAGAGAGAGAGAGAGACAGCATGAGCAGGGGAGGGTCAGAGAGAGAGGGAGACACAGAATCCAAACACAGGCTCCACGCTCTGAGCTAGCTGTCAGCACAGAGCCCAACGGACTTGAACCCATGAACCGTCAGATTGTGACCTGAGCTGAAGCCAAATGCTTAACCGACTGAGCCACCCAGGTGTCCCTATTTTTAATTTTTAGAGAAACCTCCACACTGTGAAGCAGTGCACCAGTTTGCATTCCCACCAACAGTGCAAAGGGTTCCCATTTTTCCACATCCTCTCCAGCATCTGTGATTTCCTGATTTGTTCATTTTAGCCACTCTGACCTGCGTGAGGTGGTATCTCAGTGTGGCTTTGATTTATATTTCCCTGATGATGAGTGAAGCTGAGCATCATTTCATGTGTCTGTTAGCCATCTGGATGTCTTCTTTGGAGAAGTGTCTGTTCATGTCTTCTGGCCATTTCTTCAATGGACTATTTGTTTTTCAGATGTTGAGTTTGGGAAGTTCTTTATAGATTTTGGATACTATATTGGATACCTTTATCCAATATGTCATTTGCAAATATCTTTTCCCATTCTGTCAGTTGCCTTTTAGTTTTTTTGATTGTTTCCTTTGCAGTGCAGAAGCTTTTTATCTTGATGAGGTCCCAATAGTTCATTTTTGCTTTTAATTCCCTTGCCTTTGGAGATGTGTCAAGCAAGAAATTGCTGCGGCTGAGGTCAAAGAGGCTGCCTGCTTTTTCCTCCAGGGTTTTGATGGTTTCCTGTCTCACATTCAGGTCTATCATCCATTTTGAGTTTATTTTTGTGTAGGGTATAAGAAAGTCATCTAGTTTCATTCTTCTGCATGTTGCTGTCCAGTTCTCCCAGCACCGTTTGTTAAAGAGGCTTTTTTCCATCAGATACTCTTTCCTGCTTTGTCAAAGATTCGTTGGCCATACATTTGTGGGTCCAATTCTTGGTTCTCTATTCTGTTCCATTAGCCTATGTGTCTGTTTTTGTTTAACTGACTGAGCCACCCAGGTGCCCCAATGTGTCTGTTTTTGTGCCAATACCATACTGTCTTGATGATTACAGCTTTGTAGTAGAGGCTAAAGTATGGGACTATGATGCTTCCCAATTTGGTTTTCTTTTTCAATATTACTTTGGCTATTCAGGGTCGTTTGTGACTCCATACAAATTTTAGGATTGTTTGTTCTAGCTTTGAGAAGAATGCTAGTGCAATTTTTATTAAGATTGTATTGAATGTGTAGATTGCACTGGGTAGTATTGACATTTTAACAATATTTATTCTTCCAATTCATGGAATGTTTTTCCATTTCTTTGTGTCTTCTTCAATTCCTTTCATAAATATTCTATAGTTTTCAGCATACAGATCTTTTATATCTTTGGTTAGATTTATTCCTAGATATTTTATGGTTCTTGTTGCAATTGTAAATGGGATAATTTCTTGATTTCTCTTTCTGTTGCTTCATTATTGGTGTATAGAAAAGCAAGTGATTTCTGTACATTGATTTTGAACCCTGTGACTTTGCTGGATTCATGTATCAGCTCTCGCAGCCTTTTGGTGGGGTCTTTCGGGTTTTCCATGTAGAGTATCATGTGGTCTGCAGAAAGTGAAAGTTTGACTTCTTCTCTGCCAATTTTGATGCCGTTTATTTCATTTTGTTGTCTGATTGCTGATTCTGTGACTTCCAGCACTATGTTAAATAACAGTGGTGAGAGGGGACATCCCTGTCGTGTTCCTGATCTTAGGCAGAAAGCTCTGTTTCTCCCCATTGAAGATGATATTAGCTGTGGGCTTTTCATATATGGGTTTTATGATGTTTAGGTATGTTCTTCTATCCCGACTTTCTTGAGGGTTTTTATTAAGAAAGGATTCTGTATTTTGTCAAATGCTTTTTCCGCATCTATTGACAGGATCAGATGGTTCTTTTCCTTTCTTTTACTAATGTGATGTATTTGTGAATATTGAACCAGCTCTGCAGCCCAGGAATGAATCCCATTTGATCCTGGTGAATAATTCTTTTCATATTTGATTTGCTATTTTCTTGTTGAGAATTTTTGCATCCATGTTCTTCAAGAATATTGGCCTGTAGTTCTCCTTTTTAGTGGGGTCTCTGTCTGGTTTGGGAATCAAGGTAATGCTGGATTCATAGAATGAGTCCAGAAGTTTTCCTCACATTTCTATTTTTTGGAACAGTTTGAGAAGGATAGGTATTAACTCTGCTTTATATGTCTGGTAGAATTCCCCTGGGGAGCCATCTGGTCCAGGATTCTTTTTAGGAGATTTTTGATAACTGATTCAATTTTTTCACTAGTTATAGGTCTGTTCAGATTTTCTATTTCTTCTCATTTGGATTTTAGTAGCATGTGTGTGTCTAGGAATTTATTCATTTCTTCCAGGCTGTCCAGTTTTGTTGGCATATAATTTTTCATAGTATTCTCTAATAATTGTTTCTGTGGTATTGGTTGTGATCTCTCCTCTTTCACTTGTGATTTTATCTATTTGGGTTCCTTCTCTTTTCTTTTTGAGAAGTCTGGCTAGGGGTTTATCAATTTTGTTTATTTTTTCAAAAAACCAGCTCTTAGATTCATTGATTTGTTTTGTTTTGTTTGGATTCTTTATTGTTTATCTCTGCTCTGATCTTTATTATTTCTCTTCTTCTGCTGGCATTGGGGTTTCTTAGTTGTTCTGCTTCTAGTTTCTTTAGGTGTGCTGTCATATTTTGCATTTGGGATGTTTCTTGTTTCTTGAGATAGGCCTGGATTGCAGTGCATTTTCCTCTTAGGACTGCCTTCGTGCATCCCAAGGGGTTTGGACTGTTGTGTTTTCATTTTCATTTGTTTCCATATATTTTTAAATTTCTTCTTTAATTGCCTGGTTGACCCATTCATTCTTTAGTAGGATGTTCCTTAACCTCCATGCATTTGGAGGCTTTCCATACTTTTTCCTGTGGTTGATTTCAAGATTCATAGCATTGTGGTCTGAAAATGTGCATGGTGTGATCTCATTTCTTTTGTATTTATTGAGGGCTGTTTTGTGACCCAGCGTGTGGTCTATCTTGGAGAATGTTCTGTGTGTACTCGAGAAGAAGGTGTATTCTGCTGCTTTAGGATGAAAAGTTCTGAATATATCTGTCGAGTCCATCTGGTCCAATGTATCATTCAGGACCATTGTTTCTTTATTGATTTTCTGTCTAGACAATCTGTCCATTGCTGTAAGTGGAGTATTAAAGTCTTCTGCAATTACCATATTCTTACCAATAAGATTGCTTACGTTTGTGATTAATTGTTTTATATGTTTGGGTGCCCTTGAATTGGGTGCATAAACATTTGTAATTGTTAGCTCTTCTTGATGGATAGACCCCATAATTATTACATAATGCCCTTCTTAATCTCCTGTTACAGCCTTTAGTTTAAAATCTAGTTTGTCTGATATAAGTATGGATACACCACCTTTCTTTTGATGTCCAGTAGCATGATAGAAAGTTTTCCATCTACTCACTTTCAATCTGAAGGTGTCCTCAGGTTTAAAATAGGTCTCTCTTTTTTATCCATTCTGA